TATTCCAATATGATTTATAAGTGAGACTTTACATCGTGGGTTGCAATCACCGGGTTGCTTTAGTATCACAGTGTCCGTTCGAAATTGATCCCTGAGATCTTTTTTGCTTGAATTGAGAGCAGAAATAAGCGCCATCGGGTCATCTCTGTAGAAGCTAGCCAGAAAGACAGGATCCCGGTTTACGGGGTCCTGTCGTTGTGGCTAGCGTACTAGTTGAACCAACTGCAAAGGCGAGCGGAGAACCGCTTTCTTGACTACGCGAACCATCGCAATCAACGAAATGGACCGTGCACGAGCCAATGCGTACACGGTTTTTATGACAGGTATCTGCTTAGACATCATGCAGGAACGCGACGGATTGATCGATGACATATTAAAGACATTAAAGACATTTATTCCGTCACCTTATAATAATATCGGTGGTAGGGCCACGCAGCAGCCTCGGCTGTTGCACGAATGGGCAGGCTCGCCCGGGTAAGTACCACGACCTCACAGAAGACCGGCGTGAAGTGGAAATATAATACTTTCGCATTTCGTCTGGTGAGTGAGGTAGCCGAAGCCCAATTTCCAATAAGGTTGTCAACGCATCTGCAAACCCTCGGGTGTAGCAGATGTCTGGGTGGCGGTATTCACTTAAGATCAGGTGACCCTCTGCTCGTTTAGCAACTTTTCACATAAAAAAACACCTTATAATAATGGTACAAAACTTAAACACTAAAATTACAAAAATTAGAACCCTTGAATCCGATGGCGCATAAAGGAATAAACTCCCATTTTCAACTCGAATGCAACGCCATTTTTACGAACTAGATTTTAGCGAGCCAGCGAAACCGTAGCGTGTTCCGCGAGTTGTCACAGGTGACAGCAAAAGCTTTTAACAATTCCAAAAAAAAAAAAGATATAAACGCCAACATGATCCGATAAAAATGAAACTTTTAGTCATTTTCATGTTCCTTTTTAAATTTTGCCGGCTTCAGCTCAAACTTGCACATCTTTTTAAACGTACAAGTTTTTTGTTTGCTCGCAAGTGAGACGCGAACTGAACATGTGTACCCACACTACAGCTCTTTGAAACTCGCACACCTCGAGCACTTCGAGCCTTACAACAAACTTATCGATCACCCACAGACGCGCAAACTTGTTCGCAACCCGCCAACTCTCAACGTATTTTGTGTCGCGATGCCCCGCGGGGGCGGTAGCTGCCCCGCGTGAAATATGACGGCAAGTTCGGTTCTAAGCGAACGCCACGACGCGACGCCACGTCCGCGTCCCACGTATCACGGTAATAAATTTACATTGTCGATTCTCGCGGAAGTTTGAGACTTACGCGACGCTCTCACGGTGTACGAATTTGGGAGTTTGCGTTTTGCATCCGGGGGCCGTGAATCTTGCTTAAAATGTTGCCGCGAATATACCATACGCAGGATACATTTCAGAGTGTGCGCAGGTATTCGTTGACTTAGCGCCGCCTTCCGCCTTTCACGATGGCGGCTAGACTCAGCCGGCCTTCGTCTATATTCTTTGTGCAAACGGAGGCAAACGATCAAGCTGTTCACTTTTTTTTTCTTTTATGAAAAAAGTGACAAACTGGCTTGCACATCACTTGATGGTAGGTGTTCACCACCGCCTACGGACACTGCCAACACCAGAGGAATCAATTTTCATGGTTTGTCAATGTTCTCCCTCGCATTGGATTTAAGCTAGAGGTAGACACCTCTTCGTTGATTGTACAACCCACTGCGTTAATTCTTCGTCTCGGGCTTTCCAATGTTAATATACCATTAAAACAAGTGTAGACACAAAATCTAAATCACCAGTTATTATCGAGTGGGATGTATGTCAATCATAAGCCAGTACTGGATGAAAAAATTCACATTGGCATAGACGTAGATGATCGCGACTAATTAAGATGTGTCACTTTGTGATAAAAAAAAGAATAGTTTATCGTCTGTATAAGTATATATATTTGTCGTCCCAATGGCTAAATAAGCTCTATTAATGTTAATGTTCACAATGAAATAAGGAAGAGGCAAATAAAGAAAAACAATAATTCAGGTAATTTTGAAGCAGTTTTTGTGGACTGCAAGAATATGTGGTAACCTAATGTGAATAATGAATATTACCTTTCTATTATTAAATTAAATTGCGTCACATTTATTGTTATACATATTTTTAGAAGTATTCAAAGGATATAGCATTCTATTTATTTAAATATATAAAAAAAAGGAATTTATTCAACGCAAGTGATGCCGCGGGTAAAAGCTAGTCTTACATAATTCAGTGCCACATGTGATAGAACTAAGAATAAAAAAATCGATGGGCATGAGAATTTCTTCACATGTTACGATAGTGAAGTTATTAATAGAACAAAAAATACTCAAACAGCCCACATTGGTATATCATAAATATCTTCACAAGTTTGTTTTAATTTATTATAAATCGTAACGTTAAATTAAAATTATGTAATTTATCTAAAATTATGTCCAATGCCCATGCAGTACCTACCCACCCCAGTGTTCGTGGGGAGCTCGGCCCTCGAAATTATTGACGAATATATATATCTAGGACAAGTAGTCCGGCTAAGCAGGTCCAATTTCGAGGGAGAGGTTGCTCGACGGATCCAACTCGGTTGGGTAGCGTTCGGCAAGCTAAGCAGCATCTTTACGTCCAGACTACCACAAAGTCTAAAGACAAAACTCTTTGACCAATGCGTACTGCCAGTGATGACTTACCCTGCCGAGACGTGGTCTCTAACAACTATGGGCCTCCTAAAGAGACTCAGCGTTGCTCAGCGGGCAATGGAGAGGGCTATGCTTGGGGTTACTCTGCGAGATCGAATCAGGAATGAGGAGATCCGCAGACGAACGAAGGCTACCGACATAGTCAAGCGGGTGTGCAAGCTGAAGTGTCAATGGGCAGGGCACATAGCTCACAGAACTAACGGCCGATAGGGCAGCAAGGTTCTCGAGTGGAGACCACGTGTTGGCAAATGCAGTGCAGTGTAGGGCGGCCACCCGCAAGAGGGACTGACGACCTGTCCAAAGTCGCAGGACTATGCTGGATGCGGGCCGCTTCAAACCGATCGCAGTGGAAATCCCTAGAGGAGGCCTATGTTCAGCAGCGGACGCTTACAGGCTGAAATGATGATGATGATGATGAATTAAATTAAAAATAATTAATAAACAAAATAATCAAAATTAATTTAAACTCTTTCATTGAATAATATTATTTATTTCCCCTTACAAGCTACACACTATTTAGAACGAAGTAATAATTTTCTCTTATCCATTTGCTACCTGAATTTTACACGATATTTGTTCTATTAAGTGTGATTCTATCTCATTCTACATATTCAACCAAAGTCGTGTAACGTGATATTGAAGGACACCTTTTGGGGGTAATATTCCAACCAAGTTGGCCTCCATTCGATAATGTTACGAGTACATCTCGAACGGTTCACTGCTTAGACATATCGTATAACTTAGTGCCAGCTGTTTACACGCACTGCTTTGTGCCAATACTAATTAATGCACAAAGGGGTTTCGTGTATATAACCTGATATTAAGCTGTTGACACATTGCCGCAAACGTCGTATGTTTGACTTTGTACGATTATTAAATTAACACGTGTGCCTAAGAGCTCTTCATTGACCTTCTTGACTGCGTTGGATTGTGATCGAAGCATTGTAGCCACACTAAATGTACGAAAAAGTTGTTTCTAATAGTACTAACATATTATTCATTCAGAAGGACGGTACATTTTTATTAACTGAATATGATTTTGATAATACTTCTCGTAATTTTGAGTAAGTTCTTTGTTTTCGAAAGAGAAAGGTTCACTTAAATCGTTATATTCGATAATGATTTTTAACCGCCTTCAAAAAAGGAGGAGATTCTTAATTCGACTGTACTTTTTTTTATGTTTGTTACTTGACTCCAACTTTCGACTGAGTGATCCGGTTTTTTGATGATTCTTTTATTTGAAAGCTGGTGCTTCCCCTGTGGTTCCATATTAATTTCATTGGTATTAGATCTTGGGCTCGTGAGATACGTGGGGAACTTCTGAAAATCAGTTATAAAATGAATAAAGAGCGTAATACTTGAAGTCGGTTTTGTTTTTCGTTAATAAATATGGAACTTATGGGCTTTTATTTTAAACTCAAATTAGAACAGAAACTATCCATGATGAAAAGAAAAATAGACTTCATAACATATTCTTTCATTCTTTAAAAAATATCGCGTATTCTATACGAAATCCATATAAATTTACGGTCTCCGTGTATTATGCGCGGCTTCTGGGCTCATAACGTAGCCATGGTCCTACCCAGTCGGTACAATAGACCTGAGAGCTTTTTCTTTTTTTTTTAACTCGGACCCAATGTACTTAATAGATACAAGGGTATAAAAGAATTATGAGCATTAATTTCTTTGACGCTTGAATTGTTAAATTACCTACGCTTTGCGTAGTTTTTGTTATTCATTTTTTGCTAATAACGGCCAAAACCTAAATCGCATAAATCCAAATGTATAGACATTTTTAAGAATGCCCTTTGACTGGGTATAACACGTTGCTTTGTCTACGGAGAGTTGATTGCTTAAGGCTTGTTTACTCGACTGTTTAAAGGCCTGTGACGCGTACAATCAAAGGTATATATAATGTTATTACATTTTCGTCTTAACTTCTTTTAACCCATAGAACCCTCAGAGTTATTAACGTAATATCATAATATGTTAAAATGAATTCCATTCAACCGCACCGTAGCGGCTGAATGGATTCGAATACAATTTGAAATCGAAATCGACTTAAACTTTATACTGAAGAAGGATACTTTCCGAGAATAGGCGAAGAAGACCTTTAAATGAATCACAATCACACGGCGTTTCGTTCGAGTTTAGATATCTGTGACTCGCGTTAGTTTCAATTTGATACCGCTCCCGGTGGTGCGATATCTTTGTTCATTTTCAGACACGTAGTTATTATGATAAATGACCCTCCAGTTATCCGCGGTGGCGAAGGATGATACGTCTCCCGCTCTCGTAAATTGAATTCATGTTGCAATCGTCCACAATAAAGCAGTTCGTCAAACTGGGCTGTTCACACCGATCTAATAAAGACTCTGAGATCAAAAAATCGCTTGTGGTTACAATAATATTTTGTTACTTAGCAATTCGAAAGCACAACTTAAACAGTTTTAAATTCATCATCATGATCATTTCAGCCTGTTTGAATGCACTGTTGAACATAGGCCTCCCTTATAGACTGCCAAGAAGTACGATCCTGAGCCACCTGCATCCAGCGATTAGATGGAGTGATGAATTATGCAAATGTGTGAAGTTGATGGATACATTTATAAGTTACTAGCTGCTGCCCGCAACTACGTCTGCGTAGAATAGGCTGAAGGTGTAACATTAAGACAGAAAGAAAGATGTACATAAAATATGTATATTAATTATAGCCTATGTGTTATTCTGATGTAAAGCTATACTATTCTAAAGTTTCATTAAAATCTATTCAGTAGTTTTTGCGTGAAAGCGTAACAAACATCCATCCATACATACAAACTTTCGCGTTTATAATATTAGTAAGGATAAGTCACGATCCCCGCCAGTAATAAAAGTAAAAATATTCATCATCTTTCTGCCCTTATCCCACATAGGTGGGGTCGGCACAATATGGGAATCATGTTGTAAGCGGTTTTGGCTATATTTTTTCCGACCGGCCGCCTGCTTGACGTCAAAAAACGCCTTGGTAACAAAACACCCAGATCCGGAACACTTTCCGTGTGGGAATCGATTGCCATACGTTAGGATAATATTATCCTGTGTTGTAATGACGTTTTACATACATAAATATTACGCAGACAAACACCCAGATGCGAAACAACTGTCTGTGGGTCACACAAATTGTTGTCCCGTGTGGGAATCGAACCCACGACCCCTGAGGCCGAGGCTAATACCTTGGTAACTGCGCCATGGAGTCCATATACATTATGACACTCAAAACAATGTCTTCGGAAAACAAACACGGGTAATGCTACCATAGATAATGATACGGAACCCTTCGTGCGTAAGTCTGACTCCCACTTGGCCGCTTATTTCACCTACAAACGCAATAATTTCACTAATTCATCATAAAGTTACTGTAGACGGAATCCGTTGACTTTTTTCCCGAGTATGTTTTTACAGACCTTTAAAGAGTGTCAGTATAGTATAGTATCATCATCATCATCATCATTTCAGCCTGTTTGAGTCCACTGCTGAACATAGGCGACAGACTGCCATGAAGTACGATCCTGAGCCACCTGCATCCATCGACTTCCCGCACATTTGCACAGGTCGTCACTCCATCTAGTGGAGGGTCGTCCTACACTGCGACGACGTGGGGGATGCGTCCTAGTATAGTATATATATATATATATATATATATATATATATATATATATATATATATATATATATATATATATATATTCCTTTGAATAAACAATACTTTTTACGACGGGGAACTGTATCTAAACGGGATATTCGGAATCAAGAACGTTCGACTCGTTAATTGGAAAGAAAATCTTTTTCAAAAACGATGTTCGGGAAAAAATTGAAAAGGAAACGGATTTATCTCGCTGAGAAACTGATATTTCATGAAGAAAAAGGACTCCTCTCCCCCTTTTCGGTCCTCCGACGCGGAACCAATCCAATCCAATTTTCATTAAAGCCCGTTTAAAAATACAAGTCGGAAATTGCTAAAAGGGGTTACTCCGCTTTCAATGAGATTCAAGGTTAAATAGTGCTCTCGCCGCGACAGCTAGGTCTCTGCTCTGCGAAATGGCAGCTTTTTGTTTGCGAATTAGGCGGTGCAAAACACAAAATCAAAGCGGAAGCGTCTGTAATGTTAAAAAAAATCATTGATGAATTTCTATGTCTAATGGATAGCAGTTTGCTACTAGTAAGAAGCGTCAACGGGTGATTGGTATCACCAGTTCGTACGTTCTATGGTTGATAATAGATTTTTTACCTGCAACAATCATTGTCTAACTGTATGCAATGTACTCCAGCGTTCGCTTGCAGATTACCAGACATTTTTAGTGCTGAATGAATTCGGTCAATCATCAGCTGTGATTTGTCTAGTCCATAAAGATTGCAAGACTATTATTAATTAATTACTCATACATTTAACTTTTTTTTTTATTAATTTTATCGTCCAAATTATTTTAAAAGGTAACAATTTTAATCAATATGTAAAATAAAGAAAAACAGCTTGAACAATATAAACAAATTTAAACTATCATATAGACATGAAGAATTACTGATAATCAATTGGAAATCGATTCGCGCATACTTTAAGATGCGATGGTCGCGCTCGCTATCGCTCACCACTTGGACACGCGCCCACGAAGAATTGCGAATCGCGGCAATCTTCTGCGCCTCGAAAATTGTTTGTTGCTATAGCAGTCCGCGTCGGGTTTCGGGCGAGGTGTAATTTCGCTCCGTATCAGCGGCTGCGGGCTCCAAGGGCGGCTCCGCGCTCGTTTGTTCGTTATTATGTGAATATTGCATTGCCAGCCTCCAGCGCAGATCCCGTAAGATAGCGACTTCATTGCTTCGCTCGGGACGCCTTAACGCGCGACTCCGATCGTAGATTGTAATCGTCGCTTCGGCGCAATAAACGTTTCGACCGAGTCGAACGTCGACAAGCGGCTTTATTGACGCTCGCTACGTGTTAACCGAGTCTCTGTTTTATTCAATCTGGACGATTGTATTAAAAGATTGTACGGTATTGCCGAATGACGCGAATGCGAAGTTGATATTTTGAATTTGCTACGGTATTCGATTTGTAAAATGCCATTATATATCTGAAATAAACGAAACAGCTTCGAGTTTGTAGAGCTTTTATAACGGGAATGAGTTTGCAGAGATATTTGTTTTTTATGGAAAAAAACTGTACTAGAGCATTACGAATAGTTTAGAACAGTAGATTTTCTCTATATAGCGCTAATTATCAACATGAGCATAACGCCGTTAGCCCGATGAAATGATGATAATTACATAAAAGAGGTGTGCTATTAATTTATAGAAAAACTAGCTGACCCAACAAACTTTGTTTTGTCATATAAATTATTTGTAGGGTAGAAAAAATGTTTGGGGTGGACCCTTAACATTTAGGGGGATGAAAAATAGATGTTGTCCGATGTTCCACCCTGGCCGATATGCACACGAAATTTCTAGAAAATCGGTCGATCCGTTTTGGAGGAGTTCAATTACAAACACCGTGACACGAAAATTTTATATATTACATAGAAGCTTCGCGGGGAGAAGGCTACCGTGGCTTTTTTCACGTTGAACAAATTTGTACGCGAAATTCCGCCGGATTCGGTAATTTTAATATCAGGCATATTTATTCCTCGGCAAGATTCACGGCACTCCACCGCAGACTTCAGACTTTGTGAGTGCTCTTGGAGCCTGTAAGGCGTCGGGCAATATAAGCCACAGCCCTTATTAAACCAAATACTTTAGAATACTATCTTAACAATTTATAATTTAATGAAGTTTTAGCCGGCGATGAGATGAAAATTGCCCAGATATGGCACGTGCGCTGGGTGGAGTTCAGAGCTTTTTGTATTATTACAAGAAATTTTGTATATTTTGTACAGGAATACTTTGTCGAATCACTTGTCGTCAGTGATACACGACTAGAACGATGCGACATACGAGTCTTGATGATAACGTTGTTGATGTTTCCTGCTGTATAAATGCACACTAGATGGCGCCAAGCATTACTAATAATGAAATAAAGAAAGTGGATGGAGTGTAAGTCGCGCTGTCTTCGGCCGCTTAGCTTAGTTGTCATAGGATCTGGGTGCGTGACCTGGACACGACGGTTCGAATCCCGCAACCCCGAAATTTATTATCCATTTATTTATAAAAATGCACATTTTAGTATCATTGTGAGTGCAAAGACTGGCCCTAAAAACCATTTTGACTGTGTTAGTTGCCACGCAACAGTCTTCGCTGTTGCACAATTGGGCAGATCCGACCGGGGACGTACCGCGACCTCACAGAGGACTGGCGCAAAGTGGAAGTGTTATACTTCTGCGTTTCGTCTGGCGAATGAGGTTACTTTTGATGACTCCGTGGCGCAGTTGCCATGATATTGGCTTCGGCGTCGGGGGTCGTGGGTTCGATTCCCACACGGGACAGCTATTTGTGCGACCCACAGATAGTTGTTTCGCATCTGGGTGTTTGTCCGCGTGAAATTTATGTTTGTAAAACGTCCTTGCAACACAGGATAATGTTATCCTAAAGTAAGGGCAATGTTAAGCAAAAAGAAAAAAAAATGAAAAACAAAACAAACTAGAGGCCACCTTACCTTCGCACTGTTGCAAATGTCCATGGGCGGTGGTTATCGTACGTATACGTGTTCAGGATAGAACAAGGAAGAAGAAATAACGCTTCTGAAGGTGTTAAATTAATATAATTTCAACTAAGAAATAATTAGTTTGTATTCGAATGCGAGTCCGTTACGGTTGGAAGTCTGTACGGTTGGAAGAATGTACCAATTTGAATGTGAGTCGTTAACCACTTATAAGCCAATATATTTAAAATATAACGGTCGACTTCCAACGCGAGTGTTACAAGTATAAAGACAGTCTATGGTTTACACATTAATTTATACATATTAATAATATTAAATTTATTTATAATTTAAGTTGTCTGTAGCGCAGACATACGTTATACGTTCATTATAGCATTCTTATTGTACTGATATTGTCCAAGGAGTGCAGTGATTGTCGACCATTAGTCAACAACAGTTCATTAACCATCGCTTCTATGAAAACAATTTTAACGGTAGTAGGGCCACGCAGCAACCTCGGCTGTTTCACGAATGGGCAGGCCCGTCCGGGTAAGTACCACGACCTCACAGAAGACCAGCGTAAAGTGGAAGTATGATAAATACTTTCGCGTTTCGTCTGGTGAGTGAGGTAGCCGGAGACCAATTTTCAAAAGGTTGTCAACACATCTGTAACCCTCGGGTGTAGCAGATGTCCATGGGCGGCGGTATTCACCATCAGGTGAACCGTCTGCTCCTTTGGCAACTATTCACATAAAAAAAAAACAAAATACCGTACAATTATAACTTTTCCAAATGATCACTATAATTTTTCTTGTTTTAAATACGTCCTTATAATATTTTATTGATGTAGATAATACGCAAAAACGTGCTTGGGAAAAGATATCCATTTTTAGCACAACTTCATGCCACGCGTGATGATATGAGAACTCTGGAATCCTTTGTGATACCGCACATACAATATACGTTCCCTCTACTGTGTCTTCAGCGTAATTATCACGTAGCGTGTAGAAAATTCTAGAACTTTCAACGGTTATTTGGATTCATAAGGAGCTTGCTTGGTAATTAAAAGCTTAATGCTTTTCTTTATAAGAAATTTAAACGTATCAATGTTCAATTTTCGATAATAGGCGTCCGTCCAAATTAATTTCAAAACATTTTATTCAAAATCGACTTATGCTTAACATTCAGATGTTGTCTATTTTCTTAGTTTTCCTAAGAATTGACTTCATTGAAGAAATATCAGCTTTAGTTAGCTAATAACTTAAATAACCTTTATATAATTCCTGTTTACAGATTTTTTAATAATGGCAACTATTTTACTATATTTACCTGAGGATAAACGTTGATGTAGCCTTTTATGTAAACGTTGAAATTTCTGGCATGAGCTTCATAAAAGCCTGTTAATTTTTGCCTTGAAGACTCACTGATACTGGTCATTAGAAAATTGACTGCGGCAATTGAAATAGGCTTTTTCTATATATGTTTCTTGTCTATGGAACTGTTTAATTTTATCGAAACCCTTAGCTAGTATCTATATCAAGTTTTGTTTATATCACATATTACAAACCACACGCACAAACCCACATAAATACACTACATACATCTTGGAAGATGCGAATTTGTCTAAGAGACTCAAAGTTCTCATTACAGTCCAAAAAATCGTCGCTAATGTAAGTGAGGGGTCGGTACGTTGATACGCTTTCTGGATCTTCTACCAAAAAGTACACTAGCATTTTCGAAGCGAATTAGCCACTCGACATAACTTTTTTTTATTAACATGGGGGAAATGCCTACGCATACACGCTGTATTGCACGTGGGTTATGTCGGACTCGCACCGACTTTATTCCACCTAGGCGCATATTGCTAGGGCCACGGGAACGCTTTCGCTCACTCCTGCGACCCTGCCAGCGTTGGCCGACTCAACAGCCCCCTCCCGGGGAGCAACCCCCTCTCTTTCAGGCAAGGCGCCCTACTCGCCCCCTTTTTCGAGGCCAACGAACTCCCCCTCGATCGCTGACCAGAGTCCATGGGAGCCAGGAGAGCCAATAGAGCCAGTGCCAATAAGCAGCAAGCCTCCCAGCTAGGGAGAACGGCGCACCGCAATATCGACACTCCGTTTCCTCCGCGGCCCCACCACCACTGCATCAGCGGTGCAGCCCCTCCGTATCGCGGGGGATAGGGAGGAGCACGGCCAACACAATACTGACACTCCTCTTCCCTCGCGACTCCGGTAGCAGAAGACAGGGAGAGTGGCTCCACCTCTACCACCCTCGGCCTGTCCCATGCACCTTCCGGCACGCATCCAGAGCGGGCTCAATAAGCCCACTCGTAGCGGCCTTATACCGCAGGCCGGCCCAGTGTATGTTCCCCTTAGCTTCGCCGTGGCTGACCAAGCCACGGCTACTAAGCCCCTCCGCCACATCAAGGCGGAACTCGGTTGGAGGGGAGCCATTCGACATAACTAACTTAACTTATCCGGCTTCGATCGAACGACGTAGTAACGAATTCGAACAACAAAACCGTTAAATTAGAATTGTTAACGAGCGCCCCTAATCTTAATTGCACAATAGCGCATGTAAACTATTATAATCTCGTACCACAACGCCGAACACTCGACAGACTTCGACCCGCCGCGAAGCCAGTGTCGGGGCGTTGTATATATATGTTTTTTGATTACCCCAATAATATTCCCCGGAATGAATAACGAGTTTTACGCTTGTTAAGCACGCACTTGACGGTTTCATTCAAAGGCAAATCGCATCGGCTTTATTTATCCCCCCCCCCCCCCCCCCACCCTGTCGTCTTTATTACGTTTCCACGCTCCGCTCGCCAAGTCGGCGCACAATCGAAAGGGAAAAAAATGTATTAAATAACCCGGAACGCCACGTGAGACCACGTCACGTAATACGACGTCACTCGCCAGTTTTAATGTTCCCTAATTTTATATATTTATTTACGGTTTGCGTGCGCGCCCGACACGCGTTGGCTTCGAGCTCCCCTTTGTTAAGACGCCGTGTAGTGTATGAGATGGGGATTCCTTTTTAGATTTTTATTTCATTTCTCTCATTCAATTGTTCAATTCCCACAGCGGCGACAATCTTTTCGCACTTTTTCTACATACTTTTAATGTTCAATTATCTCTTTGATTTAGACATTTTCCATATGATACTTTATTGTATTTACGCTTAAATTGAACTAACGCGTTTAGTCGCGCTTAAAGCTGTTGCTTTTGTCAATATAAATTG